AAGGAATGTTTGAAGTAATATGCATATTACAATTTGAGAACAAATCTTACTTTTAAATATAACATGCAAAACAGTAAATTCAAAAATCAGAATCCTAGGTACATGAAAAATTTTGATATCAAACCGCTTATAAATTTTTAAACTTTTACATTGTCCTGTTATTTAATCAGTTATCTAAGGCTTTTCCTATGTACTAAGTTTCCACAAAGAAATCAAAGTACTCACAATAAATAGTAACACAAAATTATAGATATTTTACTTTGATTAAAATGACACAGAGAATATTGTATTCCTTATTTTTTTAATTATTTAAATAAAGCTCCGTACTTATGAATATACTGGTTTAGAGTATTTGTTGTAGCAATGGTAACATTTCCAGATAATTACATAGAATTCGCATTGCTTTCCGATGTATGCAAGAATTCCTTATCATCTAATATGTTAAATTTATTATTGTTTAAAGAAAACAAATCAGGTGTACATCTTTCATTGTCATATATTCTTGTTTCACTACATTGTAGGATAATATCTTCCAAAGTACTTTCATGTTCATTAGACTGTAAAATAGTTGTAGTTATTTTTTTTATTACCCAAAGATATGAATCAATTGATACATGAAATTTGATTTTATGTTCAAATGCTTGATAATGGTTTTTAAATTCGGTATTACATAGCAGACATATTGTATCATGAAACCTTAGATAATGTATTCTGTAAGACTGTATATTCAAAAATTTCGTCAAACACAATACACAGTTAAAATACTTCTCTTTTGGAACAATATCAAATCTTTGATACTCGTAAAGAGTAATAAGACGTTTCAGTCCCATAAGCTTCACTAGATTATGCTGAAAATTTTCTACATTATTATATTTCAATTGTAAATGAATATTACTTTCTCTTAAATTGAAATCACTCAGAACAATATGTACATTTATTATATGGTTTGTTAATTCGTCTGCGATGTAAAGGCGATTACAAAGTTCACATATTTCTGCATTAAGATTATGCCATTTCTCGAAATGAAATCTCAGTTGTTTCTTTGTAAGGAATACTACATTGCAAAGTTTACATTTAAACGTTTCTTCTACATTAGACTCCAAAGATATATTTGAATTCGTATATTCATTTAAAGATGTATCACTTGCAGTTGTCAAGTTATTCAAATCTTTCACATTCTGATTTATGCAAGGAATAATTCTTTTGTTCATCGTATGATCGTTTCTTTCCTCATATTCAGTACCACAAATTTCCCAATTATCTGAATCATAGGGTAAATCATTTTGTATACATATTGATGTATCTATAAAGTTATTTACATTAGTATTAACATTAACTGTAGAGTGTACAGATTGATGTTTCTCTAACATATGCACTGTAAGAAACTCTAATGAACACACGTTACATATATGTGGTCCTGCAATTTCAAAGTGGTAATTTATATTATGTTGCATTAAGGATATACCATTATCAAAACTTAGATTACATCTTATACAATTCCAAGACGTCACATTAGAACAAATATGAATGTTTACCATTGCAACAGAAGTGAGAACTTTATTACAATTATCACAGACATGAACAACAGATGTGTCGTTATGGATATAATATTTGTGACGTAAATAGTTTCTAATTAACGCAAAGTTTTCCTTGCATAGGTCGCAACGCCATTTTTTATTTTTTTTATCTATACTGCACTTACTAAACATTTTGCAAATTATGGTTTCGTACATTTTATTTCCTTTTTCCATAAATATTTCTGACATTTCTTCTTCGGAAACGTCGCGTTTGTCTTCAAAATTGGCATCATGTTGTGTAGATACGTTTTTTTCCATGTTGTGATTATTAAGATATGGCAGAAGCAAATTCGATACTTCTTCATCTTCCAAAATAGAATCATGTAAAAAGAACATATGCTCTTTTAACATTCTTTGGGAATTAAATTTATTATTACATATATTACATCTTATCTCCTTTTGTGTATATGATTTAACTTCTTCTGTATCTGTATTAAACGTAAAATTACGTTCTTTTGTATAACTTATTAATAATTTATCTTCCATTTCATTGTTTACAACTTGTTGTTTAGTATTTTCCATCTTTAACTTTTTTGAAATGTTTACATTACCCTGAATATATTTTTGTTTCTTTACACCACTTTTCAATTTTTCTGTACAATTAACACGTAATAAGTAATTATAATTAAATGCAGTTTCCTTTTCTGACACTTTCTCTTTAATACATTCAATATTATCATTTTTGGTATTATCAATTTGTTCAACATTTGATTTTTGTGTTGTAATATTACATATTCTTTCTTCTAACTTATTTTCCTTGACAATAGAATTTGACATATCATTACCATTATAACTGTCAGAATAATTATCTGAATTGTTTGTACATGTTTTTGGTAAATGTTCAGTATTTTTGACTTTATTTTCATTATTGTCATGTAAAATTTCTTGTATTTCCTTCACATTTTCAATACAATTATTAGAATCTTCTGCATGTTTTGACATGTGTGAAATAAATGCATGTTTTCTCTTATACCTTTTTTTACAAATGTGACAATAATATGAATGCGCTTTAGAAAATATATCTGGTTCCTTATGCTTCTGATTATTTTGATCGTTAGTAGAATCTGAATATGGTGATTTTGTAATAGATGAAATGTCATTCATTGAGATATCTGTCTCATTTATTTCCTTCTGCTCTTTTCCTGCATTTACAATTAAATTACTACTATCTGGCACATTTATATTATTTTTATTAATACAGTGTTCTTCTATATGATTATTATCTATTTCATTACAAACTTCTGCTGTATTATTTATCAGATCAGGAATAAGATTTTTGTTTACTGTATCTGCTTCTAAAGTTTCAGTTACTTGTTTCTTCTTATATTTCTCTGTTTTATTTGTGGAATAATTAAAATTAGAATGTGATTTTTTAATATGGTCTTTAAAATGACATAGATTTTTATATAATTTTAAACAACAACAGCATTCGAAAATAAATTTGTTTACATTTTCCTTCTTCTTGGATGGTATGACATTTAAGTCAATAACATCAACTACAAATTGATTCTCCGAGCTCAATACCTTTCCTTCACATTGTAAATGTACCATCATTAAATGGTTTTGAAAATGTGATAGAGAACTTATATGTACATTGCAAAGTGTACATTCAATTTGTAATTTTTCATCTTTCATAAAATTTGTTTTATCCGAAAATTGTTGTAAGAGATTAAGAACTTGTTTACATTTGATACAAACTGCTACACGTTTTCGTATTTTACCCTTTTCCTTTTTTAAATAATTAATTTCTGATTTCGTTATTGTTTTGCTGTTAATTTCCTTTTTCTTATTTTCTAAAAAGAAATTACAAATATTCTGCAATAATTGATTGGTTTGTAGTTCGGACTTATTATTTTGTAATGTTTCTGCTTCATTACTTTTATCATTCTTGGATATTTCACATTTATTTGTTTTGTATTCTGGATTTTTAATATCTGTATCCATTTTATTGTTCATACTTTCATTAAAATAATCACTACTTTCACCCAAAATTTGATTCTGAGAATTACTTGCTTCCTCAAGACTCATATTTAATTTATATTGATCCTCACTTAGTTGCTCACATGCTGCTTCAGTTGTAAAATATTCTTCTACAGTGGATGAACTTGAAATATTATTCCTGGAAACTCTTCTTCCTTTTTCTTTTTTTCTTGATCCTTTTGTACTAAATTGATTTGTTGAAACAAAAGTAGTTAATTCTGTATTAACTTTCTGACCTACACAGTCACCTTTTCCTTTACTTCCATATAAGTCATCTGCATTTTGATTTTTACATTTTTTTATACTTTTACATATTTGATTCAATTTAGTATTCCTTCTTATTTTAGTAACTTTATATTGTTTGTGAACAGAACACTTTGTTTTACCAATATTTCTTACTGTGTACTGTGCTTCATTGTCGATTGAATTATTTGTCTTATTTTTGGTATAATAATTAATATATAGTTGGTGAGATAATTCAGATAAAGTAAGATCTTCTAACTTAATTAATGGTATTGATAATTTCTTATCAAGTACAAAATTTTCACTTATTTTAACATTATTTCTATTTGTTTGTGTGGCGGTTTTAAAGGAATCCTCGGGATTTCTGCTTTCTAATGTTTTTGTGATATATGTTTTTTTCAATGTTTCAATAGCATTACGTTCACATTTTTTTAAAGGACCATAGTGTTCCTGTCTTTCTTTTTCTAATTGAATATGGCACTCTGATTTTATTATTTCTTTTTTTTCTATTCTGCTATGAACATTTGTCCCAGATTTTCCAATTTTAATAGATTTATTAATTTCATATTGGTTTTTTTTCTTGACATTCA